TTGGTGATTAGATGGTCCACCCATAAGTTCCGCAACAATCCTCTTATTTGTACTTGAACAATAACTTATTATATAAAGTCAGAATTTGTAAGATTATCCACTTTTTATCAATTTGCCTTTCAACAGGAATTAGTAATGTTACTTCACCAAACTAGTAATATATTGTGATAAGTTATTTAAGTACACATGGGTGGACCTCTGCGGGACGAGCGCAGCGAGTTCCGCAGCCATCTATTCATCAATATGTTGTTTAATTACGATATTAAACGTTCACCCCAATTTTCCATTACCTAATACCTACAGTTGGCATATTATGTTTAGTTTACTGTAAAAATATGTTGAACACTAAAATAAATAACTAGGACATGGAAAACATTTTTATTTGTTGGAAATACCTAGGGGAATACTGAACAAAACTTGCTGCTTTTCAGCTGGAAATAAAATTTAGTTTTTGGAAATGCTTTGGAAATATCTAGGAATATTAAGAATTAGTTGGAACTACCGCAAAATATTGGAAATACTGTCCAAATTTGAGAAGTATTCCTAGAAAATTGTTACGTTTAACATGGCGGCTTCTAGTGACGTTAACTGTTCGTAAACTAAGGTTAAGGATAGTTTACACTGATCGTGAATCCACGGTCCACACTTTCGTAGTTAACTCTTGAGTCGTGGAACGATTGGTTCACGATCAGCTCACATCACGCCACGGCTGATATTGAACCACCATAAACGGATCTATAGAGGGAAGATTGTCAAACTGCGTTTTTGTGAATCCTGTATCAACCATGATGAACTATTTAAAACACAAATGTCACAATATGGCACTAAATAGGGAAACACCACATAATAACCGCTTTCAATGCAGTCGAAGTTTCAAGCCTCGATGGTTCAAGCCTCGGTTCAAGCTAAGCGATTCTTTCTGACAGTTTACAAAGTGTCAGAGGCTCTTGTGATAAGACCTTAACGTTGTGTTTACAGACAGTTGAGGCGATTTTTAGCCTGAGCCGCTTTCGGGTGCCAAGTGCGAAGCTCCTAAAACATTTCACACCTGTCATACTCCATGCGTTTTACACTCAAACGCTTGAAACCGAACGGGGTCAAACTGTAAGATTATCCACTTTTTGTCAATTTGCCTTTCAACAGGAATTAGTAATGTAATGTTACTTTACCAAATTAGTAACATAATGTGACAAGTTATTCCAGTAAAAACGTGTGGATTGTTGCGGAACTTATAGGTGGAACTCTGCGAGACGAGCGTAGCGAGTTCCGCAGCCATCTTTTCATTTTTCATCAATATGTTGTTTAATTACGATACTAACTCCCTCAAATGTGCGTTATTCTCATTAGTTTAAAAATTACACGTTTCAGGTGAATGTCTTACTTGAACAGTTCAACAGTATATTGGTGATTAGATGGCTCCACCCATAAGTTCCGTAACAATGCACTTATTTGTACTTGAACAATAACTTATTATATAAAGTCAGAATTTGTAAGATTATCCACTTTTTGTCAATTTGCCTTTCAACAGGAATTAGTAATGTTACTTTACCAAACTAGTTATATATTGTGATAAGTTATTCAAGTACAATCGAGCTGATTGTTGCGGAACTTATGGGTGGACCCAGCTATCTATTCACCAATATGTTATTCAAGTACAATACTAACCTGATTCACTCATTTGAGAATTTTTCTCATTAGTTCAAAAACTACACGTTTCAGGTGAATGTCTTATTTGAACAGTTCAACAGTATATTGGTGAGTAGATGGCTGCGGAACTCGCTGCGCTCGTCCCGCAGAGGTCCAACCATAAGTTCCGCAATAAACCACTTATTTGTACAGGGTGTTTTTTTATATATTGACACCCCACCTACAGCCTTTACCTTCCCAGGTAGAAGAAACCATGGTCAGAAATAAAATTTGAATGTCAGAAATGTGAAATGTTGCATGCTTCCAGCTTTTTTCAAATGGGATGATCTATATTTCATTCTATATTCTTGAAGAGCACAATGCCCCGATCTATATTTGATTATTTTAAAAATGGGGGGGGGGCAGTTAACTGCCCCCCCCCCCCGTGCCCCGCCACTATATCAGCCACTGGTGTATACAGATTTGCAGGCGAACAGGAAAAGCTGATCGGTGAGACAATGAAATTTATGCGCAATCTGACAAAACCGCCTAAGGTTGCCTCAGGGTGGAACTTCCAAGTCTCAATGCCCTAGGGCTTAAAACACGGGAATCTGCTTTTATTGAACAACCCTTATTGTACACAATTTTGCAACATGGGAATCTCCAGGGGTGACCTCCCCGAATACGTGACCTCAACCCTCTAGGGTTCAAAATAATAGAGATATCCCTTACACATATGATCACCCTCCGTGGTTCCGATGTTCTCCTGGATTTTCGAGAATGGAATAGTATAGCGGATCAAGAAACGACCAAGAATTGACTTTCATAAAAAATTCCAAATTTCCTAGAATTGTCTTCTTAGAAAATCACGAGAAAATCGAATTGCTTCTACGAAACCACATACGTAAGGTAACATTATCAACAAAACCCACTTACCAATTTTTATTTATGTTTTTATATAGCAATATCAAAAATAAACCTTGAATATAATATATGAATCGCTCAGTTATTATTATTTTATTTAGTATACAGATTAGTACATAATGCCATTGACATTTCAATTAAGTAAGTATTGATATTTTCAACTTCTTCTATCCGTCTGTTTTGCTTTATGCGCGCTGCAGATCTTTGATCATTATCAAAATCCAATGATTTACATAAATTGTCTGTGAACCTTGACCTAATTTTAGTTCCCTTACGTTTGTTTCGCTAATTTCTTTTGAGTTTTGGAGATTTACGTAGATAGGTAGGTACCTACCTACTTCGTGTACTGTAAAACGGAAAGAGCAATTCTCTGATGATAGATTTGAAAACATTTCGAAACATGAAAAGAACTTTTCTTCCTTCTAATTTCAATGAATTGTAATTGAAGTTTTTTTGGCTTTTCATCACCTTCGCCATTCAATAATACCTGGCCTAAAAGAGGTAACAGTAGTTTGCTGTTTGTAGGCTCTTATCAAAAAAAAAAAAAAAAACTACACGCTCACAAAAATAGAAATAGAAGCTAAATTTATGTAAATTTCTGGCGCCATCTATTTTAAGGTTCTGCAAAACTGATAAGAAACAAACATTGTTATGGCTATGGTTATTTTATAAGAACGAATTTTTATCTCTTGAGAAGCCGAGGTGTCGCCTACAGACATACATTTACCAATAACATTTTGTGTTCATTATTTTGAAACAAGAAAGTTTGCTAGCAAAAAAAAATGGTGCAATGACCCGCTGCTTATCAGACATCCATTAAACCCTTAGCAATGGTTTTTACTCTTTGGAATTTGGCACACGAACCCAATTTATATTTTTTTGATGTCATCAGTAGGTACTGGTACTACTATACTAGAGAAGAAATATAAAAACCATATATAATGATGCCTATTTGATGCAGCAATAAATGAGAAGACGGAACAGTTAACAGTTAACCAATTATCATTGAAAAATATTTCTGTTCTGTTAGACGCTTTTAATAGGTAACTATTTTGACTCGGCGTGAATTATTAGTGACATTGAAGGTCGTTTTTTTTTTTTCGGTGAAATGAATCTTCAACACCTTTCGAGAATATTTTTGACTAAATTAATGAGTCTTATTGAATGAATTTTAATTAAAAATTAAATAATATCGTTCTAACTTTCCCTTTCAAAGCTAAAACTTGTGTAATATTTTTGGTGCAAAAAAAAATAACAACCTGATGTTAATAAACGAGTTTTGGAATTAATTCAGCTGATTGTTTTGTACAAAGGTGTTTTATTGATTGCGTGATGATCGTAGAAAATTTGAAATAGTTCGTATTTTTTTTTTGTATGCTAAAAATAAGGACCACAGGAAGTTAGTGGAGTAGATACGTATCAAACCAAAATACATATTTTTGAAAAATGTCAAATCTGAGCGAATACATTTTGTGAAAGAGTCTCCACTTCACAGGAAAATCAATGAAAAATGTAGTATGTATAACAAAAAAATGAAATTAAATTGAAATACACAAACCTCACGTTTTCTAAAAAATGAGCATCATATACTAAGGAATTATTTCGTATTTTCGCATTTTAAGCAAGAAAATAGGTAGGTAGGTAAATAATCAAAAAATAAAAAAAAAATGGTGATGTTCTTTAATTTCTTATATCTGAATCAAAGTAATGAAAAGCTTCAATTATTGTATTTATGAAAATTTTGTGACAAGTCACAGAAAAAAAACTATATATTAGCTGGTAAGTAGGTATTGAATAAAAAAAGTGAATAATTTTAGTAAACCTATGAAAATTAACCAGACATTCAGGAAGCAAAAAATATAATATAATATAAACAAGGATAGTTTGATGTTTGATACCTGACCGGACCGAAGGACATCAAAATCCATTGGGATAAATAATGATATGATGTTTTCGTTTTCGTTTTTTTCGACATTTAAAAATCTAGGTACAGAAATAAAATAGGGCTTTCTTCCTAGGGCGGAAAATGTCACATTTCTTTAGGGTCGCAATTTTTTTTTTTTTTTTTTTGCTGCAGGTTTTTGGCTGCATAATATATATATATATATATATATATATATATATATATATATATATATATATATATATATATATATATATATATATATATATATATATATATATAAGAAAATATTTGGTTTGATTTCCACGATCAAATTTCGACCGTTGTACTATATATATATATGTATATTTTTTTTAATGAAACGAGCCGTCCAAAAGTATGAGTGTTTGAAGCTTGATAATGCATAGTTCAAAATCAGGAAAAACCCTCAATCAATAGCCGAGACGCTAACTTTGAGAAATCCGAAAAAGAGATTAATTTTGAAAAATAAAATAAAAAATTTAACTAAAAACAGAAATTTTTTTCTCTTCAAACAAAACTTACTTACCCAAAAAAAAAACAACCCTTATCAATAAAAATTCACCCTCGGTAGCACTAACTAAACCAATAACGTCCCTCTGCCCCTCAAACCACGGCAACTTTCAGTCAAGAAATCAACTCAAAACCTCAATGAAAAAAAATCACCTCAAAAGCCGGCCGGTACGTTACCACTACGCGCGGTACCGTGTTCAAATTTAAAAGTCCTCTCATCCGCGTTCCGTGAGCTCGCAGGCCGCGACTTGCTGAGCAGAGAATCCGTCGCCGATTGAATTCAAATACTGCGAGATTCTCGCCACATCGCCCAGGCTTTGAGCTTTATTTTTTTTTTTTTTTTACTGCCACTACCACGCGCTCCTTTAGTTGCTAGCTGATCCTGTGGAACGTGCCCAAACTTTTGTTTATACTATACCTATACCTTTTTTAACATCCATCCATATTCTTTCCAAGAAACTTCTTGCAAGTATTCTATATACCACCTGTAAAACTAACCCTTTTGGGCTCTCAATGAGGACTTTTTAGTGGGTTTTCGCAATGCAGATTCATTCCTCAGTCAAGATAATGCCGGAAAATATTGTCAGGAACCATATGAAATAAAATGAAAGAATTACTGATCTGATAATCAATTAATAACAATGCAATTACTCACCGGGGGGTTTTACCGCCCCTTGCCTCTTGGTCATTCTGGCATACCAATACTAAATATTCCTGGCTAAAAATATAATTAAAATAGCAGGATTAATCTTCACTTGTATCTTCTTTCTTCGACGACTAGCTAGTGCCCCCCTGAAATAAGTCAAGGCTTCCCCGGATACTTAATTGCCGCTAAACAATCAGTATCCCAACAAATTGGGTATTGGGGTGTTTGCTCTACACCCCTATACCTATTAGAGTCAATCAAGTCGCAAGTAAGACCCCCAATCTTACAAGACACAACCTGAAGGAATGGCGCCCATACCAGCGTATAGAGGCTTGCTACACCAGCGTGCAATAAATGTACTCATAGTACATTTCCATGAGTTTCTACACCAGCGTGCAATAAATGTACTCATAGTACATTTCCATGAGTTTCTACACCAGCGTGCAATATATTATGATTCATAAATATCAGGTTATACACAGTATATATCAGCAATAATTATTTATATCGGCCAAAGGCTTACCAAAATCCGTGTACACACACAAACATTGAAAAACAACCTCTGTTCCTATCTGCTTGACTCCCCGCTCACCACTCATCCCTTTCTTTTTACCCTCTCGACGATTCCTTCTTTCTAAGATTCCTCTTCTCAATATTTTACCTGAAATGAAGAGGTTCTGGGCAGCTTGGACTATTTAATTAAGAGGCGACAAATGGTTTTGTTTGATTATTAAATATAATTTATTGACAGGAATACAATAATTGGAATGTTGATTACATAATTATTTTACACACCTCAAGAAGATAGAGCTTTTGATTTTGGACTTATACAGTGCGAACGTGAAAATATATTTTTTTAATTCGTTTTTGGAAACTTTGGATTTTGGTTGATTGCATTTTCAACTAGATGTGATTCATATTTTTTCGCACGATAATAATCTTCAGATTCTATTAGTTAAAATTCTAAGAATCCTCCGTGTACCATCACACCTATTACCTATCTTCATCATCCCTTCATCGGATTTCGAAAAAATCGAATTGGGTCAATGTATTTAGAAAATTGAACATGTATCCTTTTCATCAATTCATAGGAAAAAATATGTAAAATGATGTGTATATGTACAGAAAATTACATTAGCTACATAGATTTTGAACTTTCTCTACCATAACTAAATAGATGGACTTAAATTAAGTTTTGACCAGTTTTAAAAAGGAGATATCAAAAGTAATGGAAAGAGTTGTGAACAATCACCTAACCAAGTACTTGGAAAAGTACAAAATTATCAACGATAAGCAATACGGATTTCGAAAATATAGGTCAACTGGCGATTTACTTACTTACGTCACTCACTTATGGCAAAAAGCGATTGAGTTGCGGGGTGAAACAAGAACAATTGCCTTAGATATATCTAAAGCATTCGACAAAGTTTGGCATGAAAATCTGCTCAACAAGCTCAAAGCAATGGGATTATCGCCGAAACTTTGCACTTGGTTTGAAAGTTACCTAAAGGACAGATCCATTTATGTTGCACTGGATGGCCAGAACTCCAACTCTTACCAAATAAATGCTGGTGTGCCACAGGGAGCAATCCTTTCGCCAACTCTTTTTCTGATTTACATAAATGACCTCATAGATAAAACAGTAAATCCACTTTATTGCTTTGCAGACGATGGCAATGTAGTCTCCTCACTCATACCACCCACAGGTCTTTCCGCACGTGAATTCCATCATCTTAGACTAACTCAAATATCGCAGATAAATAACGACCTGGAGATAATAGAGGACTGGGGTAACAAAAACCTTGTACAGTTCAACGCGCAGAAAACCCAAGCAGCTCTGTTTTCAAAAAAGACCAGCATCGGTGAGCCAAACATCATGCTATCTGGAAGTGCTGTCACATTACAGAGTCAGTTGAACATCTTGGGGGTTACTGCAGAGACCAACATGTCTTGGCACAGCCACGTGGCAGATATTGCTAAAAGGGCGTCCCAAAAGCTGGGGGTGCTATTTCGTACAAGACATCTGTACACACCAAGCCAATTGCTGACACTCTACAAAGCCCAGATTCGACCAACTATGGAGTACTGCTCACATATATGGAGTGCAGCACCCAAACATACCTTAATGCTTTTGAACACCGTGCAAAAACGAGCTATCAAGCTGATCAATGACCCCGCACTTACTCGTAACTTGGATGGTCTCGAACATCGCAGATCTGTGGGCGATTTATCTCTCTTCTACAGGTACTATCACGGAAAATGCTCTGAAGAGTTGGCACGTATGATTCCACCGAGAGTAGCGCCTACCAGGCGAACCCGTCAAACAGACGGTAACCATGAATTTACTGTCAAACTAGAGGCACCAAGAACCTCATTATATCAGAATTCATATCTCTGGAGAACAGCATCGCTGTGGAATAAACTCCCTGCGACGGTTTTCCCTGCAGGTTACAACCTGAACCGTTTCAAGACCAACATACACCGACATTTCCGCTCACTTGCCGCTTCTCGAGCGTGATAGGACATTTCCTTGCGAGTGCGCATATCCGTAAAAAAAAAAAAAAAAAAGACTCCAGATACTAATACTAATAGCAAAGTGTAGTAAGTTACTTTTAGACCCTGAGATAGGGCCTGTTTAGTGGAGTCATTTTTTTTTTGTCTGGCATTTTGAGGGCTGGATGTGGCCAGTTAGATGATAAGCATATAAGTGGTTTTAATACCTAATGCCTGCCCCCTGTTCGAAATGTCTACACAATGTTTCGCCGGAAAACTCGATTTCCAACTGTGATTACCGTCTGGCGATTTTTTAGCGTTATTTTCATAACAAAACCTTCTATTCTCTCGATTACCAGACAAAAAGTAAACGCGGAAAGTTCTTTTCTTTTTTCTTGGAAGTTCACATCCATCCCCACTTATTCAGCTTTTGAAAAGCATTTGGTATGTTTTATGGATGAATTATTTATCAATGTCTATCTTTTATTTAAAGGCCAGAAAATTTGAGATCATTGAAAAAACATTCTTCATGTTAATCAATTTTTTTCTTCTACAAATTTTCGAACAGGTGGCGGGCATTAAAATCACCCATATTCTCATCAGCTAACTAGCCACATTTAGCCCTCACAATGCCAGACAAAAAAAGATGACTCCACTAAACAGTCCCTATCTCACAGTCTATTTATCCATATTAAATATAACAGCGATACCACAGGCTCATCCAAGAAATTTTCAACCACATAACATACCCTTTGGAAGAAAATACTTCTTTATTTTCATCTGGCATACTTTCTGACTTTTCAGGTTAAAAATTTCACTCAGGCAGTTGGGAACATAATCACAGAACTACGGGTTTGTCTGACATTATAACGGTGAAAGAAGTACATATTATGTTGATGATGATTTCACCTTATACCTATGGGAGAAACTCAGACATTGAGAGATATATGCAGTAAGAACCCTAGACTGATAATATTGCTGCTATAGCATCTTCTCTTTTGCCAATACCCGATATAATACGAACTGCTCTTCTTCACAACGCAAAAATACGCTTGACTTGAGGGAAATACATGTTCCCATCAATGTAGTTCATGTTCTGCGAATATCATATCCGAGTAACCCTTAGGGTTCTCTTTTTCGCAATGCTTCCCATACCAAAAAATATACTTGTTGTATTATTATGGTTCTTCTGTCGCGATGAACCATTCTTTCATATCAACTATTCTCTGACACATTCTATCGTTCAACGGTACAAATCATTCACGTCATCTTCTTGGAATGCCACTGAAGTATCAATAGCAAATATATAATTAATTTTGGATAGTGCACGATGGTGCATATATGCAGATTCCTGTGGGACCCCATAAGGTAGGTAGTAGTTCTAGTAGGACCCACTTCATGGTCTTCGTGGATTTCCTACTTTTAAATGAGAAAATTTGTTGTATGTCGTCAAGATATTTTTCTGATTTCACACTTCCATCAGGTAAGGCATAATGACAGCTGTCCCAACAACACCCCATATGCTACGACGTTTTTGATGAAACTGGGGTTTATATTTATCTGTAGGCGCATATATTTCATCTCTGGAGTCGAGATGAGATTCACCCCATAACAGAATTCACATACTTCTTCACCAGGTACAGCTATGAAAAAGACAACGAAAAGCTGGGAAAAGTTTACAAGAATTTGAAATCGATAGTCATCAGCAGAAATGCGAGAGCAACTTTGAATATTTTGCTTCTGTTTATGTTGACAAAGATCTAAATAATGTCTCAGACAGCAACTTACCATTATCTACTAATGATATAACTGTTAGCTCTTTCAATTTTAGTAAATCAAACATTCTTGAAAAGTTGGAAAAAATAAATTTGAGCCAGACACCAGGACCAGACAACCGCCACGAAAATTTCCCTCAATATGGAAATTAACTCATGCTAAACCTATTTCTAAGAATATTGGTAGTAGGAATGAAATCAAAATTTATAGACCTATTATTTCTAATATATCTCTTATTCCTAAAATAATGGAGAGTACTATAACAGAATTCTGGGAACTGAATTTCATGCATTTAATAATTCCTAACCAACATGGATTTTCGAAACAAAAATCAATTCAAAGTAACTGATACTATACCATATTGATTTTATCTATAATAACTTGGAAAAAGGATTTGAGGTAGACTCTTTATAAAGAGATTTCTCAAAGGGATTCGATAGAATCAACATCTGGAGTTTCTCAGGGCGGTCACCTCTCACCTTTTTTATTTGAAATTTTTATAAATGACGTAAGTCCTGCTTCAAGTTCTCCGAATATGCACTGTATGCTGATGATTTATAAGTGAGCATTGTGCTAACAATCTTTAGATTGACTTAAACAGTTTTCATAATTGGTGCATTTCAAATAAAAAGTTTCTTAATGTTGAAAAGTGCAAATCATCATACAAACACCAACAGGTTAGAACAGGTAGATATTATTAGGGATTTGGGTGTATAGTCGACTCCGAACTATATACCGCAATAGATTCGCCCACATACAGCATAGCCAAATACCTCACCACCCTCCGTCAGCCACGGATTGGCCAATCCAGCTCTTATGTTAAAGACTCCACTCATTTCATCAAAAAGATCAGTGACATCATTCTACTACCAAACGACATTCTGGTTAGTTTTGATGTCGTCTCATTGTTTACTAAGGTACCAGTGAATCAGGCCTTATAGTATCTGAAAGATATAGTCAACCATCCAAGGACCTTTTTTTTCAGTTATACATGTAAACCCCATACTTTGTGAGTGGCTTGCTTACATCAAGTCCTACAACTTTTCCTCTACGACTTTTCTCGGAAATGGCACGTATGCGCGCAGACGACTCGCAAACATTTTAGGGGTATCGGACTCCCCCAATTTGCCATTATTTTTGTCGGCCAAGTTGATTTCCGTGATTTAGAAATAAAAATCAAACATTATTCGTAAAATTAGATTTACATGTATCAAGAAACATAACCACGTCAGATCGACATTTTGGGGGTATCGGACTCCCCCAATTTGCCATTATTTTTGTCAGCCAAGTTGATTTCCGTGATTTAGACTTAAAATCAAACAGTATTCGTAAAATTAGATTTACCTACATGTATCAGGAAACATAGCTACGTCAGATCGACATGTTTGCGAGTCGCCTGCGCGCATACGTGCCATTTCCGAGAAAAGTCGTAGAGGAAAAGTTGTAGGACTTGATGTAAGCAAGCCACTCACAAAGTATGGGGTTTACATGTATAACTGAAAAAAAAGGTCCTTGGATGGTTGACTAATATTTTTCCGGAGGAAATCAACAACTTATTCCACCACTGTCTGACGACTACGTACTTTCAATGACAAAATGAATTCTTTGAGCAGACAGATGGAGTCGCATTTGAGAGTCCACAAAGAAACCTACTTGTTGGTTACGCTATGTAGATGACCCATTTGTTGTTTGGAACTATATGAAGAGGCGGAGCTCGAAAACTTCCTCAATTATCTAAACTCAATAGAACCCAGGATACAGTTTACGATGGGAGTTGAGAAGGACAACAAAATTGCATTCCTCGACGTCCTCTTAGAAAGATTACCCTCAGGTAAACTGGGGCACAGTCCGGCACAGAGTATATAGGAAGCAGACGCATACGGACAGATACCTCAACAAGGAATCCAATCACCATCCTAGGCAAAAGAGAGGAGTCATTAAAACTCTATCTGACAGGGCAATCCGGATTTGTGAATCCAGATACCTTCAGGACGAGATGCAACACCTAAAATCAGCACTTGAAGGAAATGGGTACTCCAAGCAGGAGATAAATAGAGCCATAAGACCGAAGCAACAGCGCACAAATAACAAGGAACCAGAACAGGTGGCAGGGAGAGCCTTTCTTCCCTATATCAAAAACGTCACAGATCGCATAGGACGAACGCTAGAAAGACACAACGTTAAGCCTATCTACAAGCCCACAAGAACAATTCAGCAAAGTCTAAGATCGGCCAAGGATCCTAGGGCACCTCTTGAAACGGCTGGCGTCTATAGAATTCCCTGCTTTTGAGAACACTTCATCCTCTAACACACCGCATCTGAAGATGTCTACCGCAGGAATCAAAACATTCTGCCGCCCAATCTAGCCATATTCCGGAAATCGGACCAATCAAATTCGATGTGGCTATTTTGAGCGGCATAATGTTACTACATGAGCTAGATCAGGGGTCAGAATGTCGGGACGGCCTGCTGCACTTATCCGTTAGAAGTGCCGCATGTTTTGTTTATTTCCCGCTCATTGCTCTATTGAAATTTATGCGAAGATACTTTAATATTTATTCATGATGGAGATAGATGCGATAAAACTATCCACAACGTTTGTTTATTCTGATATGAGTGAAAACACCGTGCAAACTTGTTATCCGAAAACGACATAAAAATTTGGATTAAAGACTTTGAAAAGTTAACCTCAACTAGTTGGATTGAAATAAAAAAAGATAAAATAATACCTACATTAACGGCCGTTTGCACCGATCATTTTATGGAAGGCTTAACGATAAGTAGGTATTCCTTAAAGTGACATTTTCCCATGTAAAAATGTCATTTTAAGGTAGACTTATCGTTAAGGCTTCCTTAAAACAGTTGGTGCAAACGGCCATTAATATAGGTACCATTTTTCCTCTAAATATTTTGTTGATGATACCATTACTTTTTCTAAGGGTTAATTTTATAAAATTATATTCTATAAAAGTGATATCTTCATATTTTAGTAACAAGAAGTAACTATAAATACAAGCTCATTCAGAAAATTAAAAAGGGGAAGGAAATTGTACAAAAACGTGTAGTCTTTGAAAAATTTAGGACTTAAATTTCTAATTATTATGTATTCAGATTTTGCTAAATCTAAATGTATTAACCCCTTATATCCGAAATGGATATATTTCTCAATTCCTTCGTTTCAATCAAAAAACTAACAATTCAATCAATATATTCATGAAAAAAATCCATCCAAAATATGAAATTTTCAATATTTTTTCGTACGAGGGATGATTTTCCTAAGTTTTACGGCTGGCAAGGAACTTTCGTTTTGAGGGATGATAAAGCATCCCTTGAACAAGCATCCTAGGGTGTCCCATGAAGTTTTACCCAGGTGATAATTCCGGAACGCGCTATCGTATATGTTCCACCTGTGTATTTTTTTATCATTTTCTTTAGCAAAGCCTTAACAAAATATGACATTGCCGATTTTGTAATTTAATTTTATAACGAAAAATGCCATAATATACCATAGGTTACTTTTAAAATTCTAAAGTTGCCGTCACTTGACTGAAACTGAAGCGAAAGTGGCACAAAAAGTTACCCACATCCTCAAAATTTCAATTACATTGGATGACGCGTTTTGGGTAAAACATTGTGGGGTGGGACACCCTGCATATTCCTTGAATTTCAAGTTAAATGCATTGATGATTTTATACTTTTCTCAGTACGTTTCCGTTGAAACTAATGTGAAGATAATAAATGTCTGCGACTCTTGGATGTGGCTATCATGAGGTTTGGATACATGGTTTGTCTTTGATAGGCGTTTGATTAGACATCCTCGCGCTTCTCCGCATGGGGTCGTTATTGCTGAAGTCCTATAGCTTGTTATGATTCTGTATAAGTGATCGTGAAGTTTCTAATATTTCACTGATACATATATCATCTTGCACCAGCCACGCAAATTAGTGTACCTGATTACCCTAATATTTCAACTATTTTTATGCGGGCAGAAAACATAATATCAATAAATCGAGATAGATACAAAGTTTAAGGACGTCTATTTTCAGTCCAAGCTAATATGAAATTTAAATTGGTCATCGCCATCAATTCCAGCCGCGAACATGTAAATTTATCGATACTTAGATTATTGGGTTTTTCGGGCGTAAACCTAATGACCTGAACAGCCTAAATTTATTTATTTTCTAATTCTATGGTCAAATTAGTGGTTTAGTTAATGAATGCCCCATGCTAGGGCAGAAGAAAAAATAGAGCCAAGTAAAGAGTTATGGTGTTTAAGTAAAACAACAAAATTAAAAACAGTTTTTGTACATAATTTATTATTTATATTTTAAAAGTAAGATTATTCGACGATATATTTTTTTTGTAATAACAGATAACGATAATAGGCATTTAGAGCTTCCAATCATTACGGGTACACTCTTACAGAACAAAAAATGATTATGCACCGATTAAAAGCGTCAAGAAATATGATATGATAAAAAAAAACACATGAAAGCAAAAGGAAGAACATAAAACGCTGAATAAGTATAGGGTAGATTTTTCAAAAATATGTTTAAATACACTTTCAAACTTATTCAATGTTTTTTTTTGTTTGGCTTAAAATCAATGCTTGTAAATCTTTCAGTTTAGCTTGGGTAATTTTCTTTAGTTGGCGTCGATATTCCTAAAGCTTCCTCATAGCCTGAAGATGACTTTTTTGTTTTTGTTTTACCTAAGAACAATACATTAACTACCTTTTTTTAACAAAAATATAGATGTTACCTTCTTTATCCTTATCCTTGGATTTCTTCTTATCTTTCTTCACTTTCTTAGTCTTTTGTTCGATTTTAACTTCCTCATCATCATTGATCAAATCTAGTTTCAATAAATTCTCAACTTTTCCTTTTTTTCGTCTTTCTGATTTGTGTTTATCAGATTTTTTATCCTTAACGTTCTCATCCTAAAAACAACCCAACTTATAAAAGTAGTTTTATAAACCAATCACAAACATTATACCTTTTTCTTCAATTTCTTCTTCTCTTTCTTATCTGTCTCGAATTCATCACCATCTTTCCTTGCTAACATATCACCAATAGAAGGCCTTTAAAAGGAAAAATCAGAAAGTAAAATATAATTTGAATAATTGTGGAAACTTACAAATCAAGATCAATATCCAAAGCCCTGTGCGGATCATCCAATTTATGCTGCTCGCTTTCGGAATCCGACAAAGTGGCACCTTCTGGAAGCTCCATGTGTTGTTTTACTTCTACTGCAGGAACTGTGTCAGCATTATCATCATCTGATGAACTAAATTTAAAAAACAATTATTATGAATAAAAATTTATGATTCGTCAGTTATAATAACCTCTCTGATTTGTGATGTTTCTTCTTCTTCTTGCTTTTCTTTTTCGGTTTCTTTTCCTTTTGCTGCAATTTCAAATATTTATCTGATCGTTTCTGACCTAAAATTTTCAGAGGCGGTATGTTGAGATTCAATTCAGCTACTGGAATGTTTTCGATATTTTCGTTGCCATTGCTGCTGTTAAGCTCAGATGACAAACTGCCTTTGAGGTAATGAGGATTGTTTTGTTGTTCAAATTTACGAGCTTCACGATTCTGAAAAAAAAATCAATATTAAAAAAAAAAAAAAATACTGATAAAAAATATAAATTACCTTTTTGATCTCATCTTCTGTTGGCTCATGTTGATACTTTTCAGATTTGCTTCCATAGTCGTATTTGTCAGATTTGACAAACAAATTTTCTGTGTTTTCAGGCTCACTGTCCGAATCTGAAGTTGTTTCTATTGGCTCGTTTATCCAGGCATCCAAATCCAATCTAGAGGGATTGAAAACAATTTGTATGTAGTAAGCATAAAAGATATTATAAAAATTTGAAGGGACTGCAAATAAATTTCCATTGACAGTTTATGCTAATTCAAGTTGAATCATTGCTGATAGGCAGAGGAATTCGACCGAGAGTAGCGAATGGTTTGAGTTAGGTATTTGGCTGGAAGCCATTTTAAGTTTTTGTTGGTTACCATGTAGCGAGGGTTAATGGATGTTGTTCTGTAAGATACTTTTATCACTATCCCTTTTCTCTGCTGAATAACTAGGAAACTATTTTTTTCTACTCGCGTGCGCAAAGTGATTAATTTGCACACTCATTTGAGTGCGCAAAGTTGAAATTTGCGCACGGAAACTCTTTGCGCACTCATTTTTGTTACGCATTATTATTGTATATACACTTGATTTTTCAATGTTTTAATGGTTTCTGGATAAACTTATATTCAAAAAGAAGGGTTCTAGCTGAATTTAGTGCTTAGTATTAATGTGACGTTTCCCATTAAAAGTATCCAAATTGGATTACCTTCTACTACTAGAAATTTGTGAAATATTCGGAATTTAAAAGAATTTCATAAAAATATTCTAGAAATTCCAGAAGATGTTGAAAGATTTTTGGGGATTTAATTTAAAAGAGATTTTGAAGAATTCCAATGGATATTAAGTGATTTTTTGAGATTTTGCGGTAATTGATAATTGGTCATATGCAAAAGACACGCTTAAGTTTTTTGAGATAAACATATTTAGATTTAATGCAGCAAAAAGGGAGGAGGTAGAGCAAAAGTATTTGCTCTATCTACATTTTATTCATATGACTGATTGTTTTACTGAGGTTTTACTATTTTAACAAATCAAATTCAACTTTTCTAAGACACTCGTAGAAAAAGTATTGTTCCTAACACTTGTGCAAAATGTCTTTCCCGCACTTGAAGCTTATCCGAACTCCGCTTCGCGTCGTTCGTCTAACTGCTTTTTCGTGCGGGAAAGTATCACTTTGCGCACTTGTTAGGAAAATAACTATTATTACTTCTCCTTTTTAGGATCTTAGTGTTCTTAGCCTTCTTCTAATTCCAGTTTTATTTTTGATTATGGAATTAATTAATTATCTGATACGCATTCAGGACAATATAACAGATTTATCATTACAATTTTCACCATTACTTTAGTTTGGACAAATTTAGTTAGTTGTTAATTACCAATATTATCAATAATTTTTTTCTCACCATTTGATTTATTGGTTCATTAAAAGAAAACAAATTCTTACCCTTCAGGCACTGGCACCTTTTTCTGGGCTTTAGGAGCTACCGGATTCAATTCTCCACTGAACAAACTCAAAATTTCACTTGCAACTAACTCATCTGGCTGTGGGTCTTCTCCTGTATCCATCAATTTAGAATTTTTTTCTAGAAATAATATATTGAAGTTACCTTACAGATGTTTAGAATATATACTCACTAGCTAAAATTTCCTCTTTGACAATATTAATAATAATCAGAGCCGTACTAGCCCTCTCCTGTACTTCCAACTCAGCAGACTTGATACTATCATCCATTTTTGCTAAAATAGCATCGCAAAGCTCCAAAATGTCATCAAACCTTCCAGCCAACTCATATTTTTCCATAACATGAGCAAAAAGTTTAATTATATTGTGAATAAAGACAGATTCGATATGCTGAGGTAAACATTTGTATTTTAGCATGCAACGGAGGGTTTGTTCTGGTTGTTCTAGTTCACTAAAAAAAACCATATACCTAAATAATTTCACTTAACAACAAAAAATACTCACGTAGCAAATTCTCCAGTTAACCAAGCAGCAGCATATAAAACTTCCTGCATAATTGTAAATTGATTAGTGGAAGTATAAATATCAAGCAACTGGGCCATTTCAGTTACAGCAAAAGCTCGTATAGCTTGAACTCGTATACAAACATCCATTAATTGAGCCCCAATAACGTGACCTTGCTTAGATCCAAATTCCATTTGAGCCAACTCCACTAGAACCGTAATGTACCACTCAAAATTTGTGATAAATTGATAATTGTTTTGGGAACAAATTAAAATAATTTTACTAAGTAATTCGTCCCTATACACAGTGCCTTCAGCTTTGTCCATGTGGACCATGAGTTTTTTGACGATTTCCATTAGGTTTTTTTTGGATACCATTCCGTAAAGTAAATCTAGGGCTCTAAGTCTTATAGATTCGTCTTTGTCCTCTAAACATTGTAAAATTAAATCTTTGTGAGCTTGTACACTTTTTGGATGGGTTTTCAAGATTTTTGACATTGCTAATAGCCCCAAATATTTTACTAGAAAAAAAAATACAAAATTATATATAAAAACCATTTATACAAAGAAACTTACAATTTTGATCGGAATCTTCAATAAGTATTCTTAATTTTTGCACACAAAGTTGTATACTTGCAGCATGATTTGGCATTCCAGAGGATATACTTATGAGCACCGCAATTACAGTATTAATGCATTCGTAAAGTAAACTCATTGCAGAAGTGCTAGAAAGTTCATTTTAACATTATATAAGTTAAATGAGTCTTGAACTAATTTTTTTGACTAAATTTACCTGTGAATCAAATTTGTTAGGGGTTCTATCAACTTTTTACCTAGCCTAGGTTCTAGAGGAGTAAGAGCACCAAACTACAAATAAATATCCATATTTTAGCTCTATCAAGTAATACCTTGCAATAATATTAATTAAGGGTTCAGTTAATTTTCGCCCAATAAGTGGTTCCATTAGAGCAAAACATCCGAACTGAACAAATAAAATTTCAATTTTTACAAAAATTAAATCAACAATACTCACAAGTTTAATAATCTTGATCAACATCCAGTTATTAGTGCTGGTAGTCATAAGTTTGAAAAATACAGGTGCTAGACTTAAATAATTTTTTGGATTTTTCCTCGCCAATTCACAAACAACATTCACTGCAGCCGACTGAACGCCTGGATCTGGATCTTCTAATTTTTCCTTGAGCCTAGGAAAAGCAGGCCTGAGGGCTTCAGGATATTTCAAAAATACTTTATACATCATAAGGACTGCTTTTTTTCTTATGTAAGGCTTTGTAGAACTTAACTAAAAGTCAGCCAAATGAAGATAACATAAATAAATTGTGCTTAAAGTAGTTACCAAAGTAAGAATATCATTTGACAAATCCCTAGCTAAATCAGTGCTAATGTAACAGCTAAGAGATGTCAAAGCAAGGCCGGCTTCATATTGGTTTTGTGAGTTTAATTCTTTTCTTATCATATTTGTAGTAAGCATAAGTAGCTAAAATAAAAAATTTAATGCAGGATGAAGGTATAACTTGATGAATAAAAAAAAAGAAAGTGGTATCAGGTAGGTATTTTCCTCGATAATTTATTAGTAGGGCGGTTTTAACCAGGCCAAATTGTCATTGCTAAAACACAGACTAAAATTATAAACTTTGTTAATGAAAATAAGTCTACACCTCGATCTAGACACTCATTACTCGAAAAGTTCTGAAGACCTTGAGGTTCTTTTGAAGCCACATCTAAAGCTCACTGGGCAAAAAAAGAAGAAACAGGAAATCTCTTTGATTTTGATTGGATTTAAAACTAAGCGATTAAAATCATTTTCAGTTTTCTGCTAAGTTTTATTGGCAGTGGTGTTGGTTATAATTACAGTAGAACCCTAGTTATCCAAGGTAATGTGTAACATGGAAGGGCACCCTTTTCAAATAATTGAAAACTGGGATAATCCAGATTTACACAAATTTACCTGCTAAAAGAGTCCAAAAACATAAAAAGGGGAACCACTGGTACAAGTCAAGTATATGTATACTTTAGAAGCTCGGTTAATAAGAAGCAAGGACGTGGATTCTTCAGATAATCAGGATCTTTGGGACTTAGGATTGGTCCGGTTAATCCAGAGCTCAAATTATTGCGACTCAGATATTCGAGGTTCTACTGTATTGTAATTAGATTTAGGTTTCAACTTTTAGTCTTACTCATGTAGGTGAGTATGTTTCAATATTTTTTTCATGTAATTAGTTTTTGTCTTGATGCCCTTTATTTCTTTAAGTTGAGTAACATCGTTATGTTACCTTCAAAAATTAAATCCAGGATTGATCCAGTGGTAGCTGGTACATTGACTTACCTACTTCTTTAAACATTTTTGCTTCTGGTATCGTGTTAGAAAAGCTACTAAAATTCTTACCTCAGAATCACAATGAAATGATTGACTGGCCGCTAAATAGCCTATTCTTTTTAGAGTAAACTTATTAGAGCTCATGACCTCTATTATGTTGAAGCCAGCCCATGAGATGTCATAGCCAAGCATTTGGAGCTAAAATTGCAAAATTGGTTTAAATTGAATATTCTATAAAAAATCATTACATAAGTGAGTTTCGCAATAGCATTGCTTTTTACAGATAGGTTGTCTTGCCTTAGCTCTTGTTTGATGTCTTCCATGCATTGTGAAATGTATTTCGCCTAAAAAGGGTTAAAAAATATAAATAATGAAACTGCCATACTCTAAAATTAGATACAATAAATCTGCTTTACATGGTTAAAAAAAGATGGGAATATCTTCACAGTCACAGTACAGTAACCTAAAAAGAAACACTTCAGATCCACTTACCTCATTTTCTTTATTGTTCCTGATTCCTCGGACTAAATCTGTTAGATTTTTATCAAACATGCGTTCGAAGTTGCCTTTAACTTTCTTTAAAGCCATTTTTCGTCCTTTCTACAATAAAAATAACATATTTTCACTTCAAGTGCTTCCAGTCCAGCTTTATTTCACAGAGATAAACAGCCAAGATGAACTACAAAAAGTTGGGTTACTCACCACATTCCAGGCCGGTCACTTAATTTATAATTAACTATAATAGGTATATGAAGGTTGTTAAAAGGTTCATATCACAGCACCAATAATAATTAATTGTATTTTTGTTGGCATTGGCAAAAGAAATAATGAAAATATTTGCACTTTTGCCACTCACCGCATAACTGTCAAAACAAACATATGATATATGTCATATCTTGTGGAGGTGGTTGATGCTAAAGCGTTTTCTTTTTGTAAAACTCGTGCAGCAGTTTTACACTCCAACTCAGTGAACTTAAGGGCCATATTCTCCGTAGGTCATAAAGCCTGGCTTAGTAGAAAAGCTCGGCTTTGTCACACAAAAAGCCAAGCGTTTCCACTAAGCCAGACTTTATGAACTACGGAGAATATGGCCCTAAGCCGCTTTCCAGCTTACGCTTTTGAGCACGCAATCGAGCTTTTGCGTGCGCAAATGCTTCAAGCGCGTGTTCGTGTTCCAGCCGTACTGCGCTTCGAGAGCTGCTAACTTTTGCGTTTCAAACACAGAACACTGTGCTGCACCGTGCTTGAAGCACACAGCTGGAAAGCGGCTTTAGAAGGCTTTTCAGAATATTTATCGAACTGATATATTCCTTAGGGCGGGTATTATAAAACTGCTTTAACAGTTAACATGGCCCGCTTTAGGGGGGGGGCAACCGGGGCATTTGCCCGGAGCGGCAAAATTTGGGGCGGCATTTATATCGATAAAACAAAGACAAGTAAATAAATAAATAAATAAATAGATGGTCTGTTCGCACAGAAATCACAAACCAGTTAGAGTGAATTACATTGGTTGAAAACAGTCAGAGAAACAATCAGAAAACTAGTTTCAACCAATGAAATTCACTCTGACTGGTTAGTGATTTCTGTGCGCACAGACCTAACGCCGCGAGAGACCGAACGAGTGCTAGCCATGCGAGAAAGTGTGCATATACAAAGAATGGGTACATTCAGGCGGTGCCAGCGGCTGAGCTCAGCCACTCAGCAGGGACTTTATTCTCGGAACTGATTAACAGCGTTTTGCTCTGTCATTGTCAGTGTTATGGAAATATGAATGCGGACGACGAAGACAGAACCTTCGTTCCCTGTTTCGAGAATAAAGTTTCTGCTGAGTCGCTGTACTTAGCCGCTGGCAGCGCCCGAATGTACCCATTGTAACTCGCTTGCGATTGTTTTTCTAGCTCCTAATTAGTTCTTCATTGTGTGGAACAAGGAAACACTGTGCATAATTTTAAAATGGATGTAACGTATTTGTTGGTACTATTAGAAAATTCGTTGATCGTGAAACGGTTGTAAAGCAGGAGAAGAAGAAGAAGAAGGTGCAGTCGCACGAGATTAACACTTCTTGTCATAATTTCGCAATTAGATCACGGTTGTCGTGAGAAGGACTTTTTTGATTCCATATTGGTGTTCGTAAATAAACTTCTTGTATAAATTTGTCCTCATCCATTTTCAAACGCCACCCAATCGGCGTCAAATCACAAACTTTTCTGCCTTTTATTGCTCTGCTCTGATCATCTTCGTTAAGACCCGCTCAGACAAGCAAGCGTTAAGTATGAACGCGGCTACTTAAAATCCCAGAATTGTATTTTTCGCCTTTCTCGCATAGCACGGTATCACTCGGCTCAGTCGCTAGTGTGCACGTACACTAAAATAAATAAACGTTTATGGGCGTGGCACTCGAAAAAAATTTCTTCCTCCGGCGGCGCCTGCGGTGGGCTTTACCAACCTTCCTCCCTCCCGCGAAAAAATTAAAAATGTATCTACGACGTATTTTTTTTATTCTGCCTCCCTTAAAATAAAAGTAAAGTTAGGCCGCCACTGAATAACCCCCTTTCCTTCACCTCCAAATCAATTTCTAGGGCGGCAATCAGTGATGTGCCTGTAGACAATGTCAACGTAAACAATAGGGAACTTTTTAAATCATTTATTTATGCCTTGAAAGAGTATTCCCCAAATATTATTCCCTAAAACTCAATAATAACTTGGTGAAAAATGTTTAAAGTTTCGCGCGAATTAAAAGCATTTCAAACGACCTTAAATCTGGATGACGTCACGTAGTATGATTTTGCGTTAAGCTGGCGCCACACGATGTGTCCAACCATTGGCCCCAACGTTAGATCCAACGTTGGGTACAGTGTTTTTTGCTCTAGCATTCGGCAAATGCACATACCTACTTACTTTTGTTACTATAAACATATCACAAATTACAGATTGGCGGATTGCCCTTTGGAATTTCCTTCTTCGGTCATAATTAATAGGTATATCGTTTTATTTATATAATGCTAAGCTAATCATTGAATTAAAGCGAAGTAAACCAATTTTAATATTGATAAAATTTTAAAAAAAATCAGAGAAAAACGTAAATAAACACAGCTAACGGGTATTTATTATGTAGAGTTCGAGTAAGCGCTCGGAGTTGCTGTTTTGTTCTTTTATCCCTGTTCTTCTCATCATAAGAAAAAAAGACGGAAAATGCTCCGAGTGCTCAGTGTTTCAAGACGAACTCACGGTATGATGGACGGTTGCTGACAGACACTGACAAATCATACTACATGACGTCACGACCAGTACCAGAGCGTTTTTTCCCGCTGGAAATAATTTGAATTTTTCTGCATTTTCAATTCCTTATTGTGGCCGTTTGCGACAAAAAAAATTATATTTTTCGCTGATATAGGTTTTAATTAATGTATTCTTATGATTTATAGTAATATTTTCATGTTCAAATTTTTTGTCAAGTTCCCTATTGTTATTGATTAGGGTGACCATACGTACAGCATTTCGCTCTATTGTACAGCATTTTGAAAGTCTGTCCAGCATTATATTTTGTACAGCAAACGTACAGCAATTCGGATCACAATTAAGTTTTTATTAACAATTGTACGAAAAATTCACCGCTAAAAAAAAGACCAAATATTAGACAATCAGGAACGATTTTGCAGTAATTGCAGGTTGCTCTTTGTGACTTTTGCGTTATTTTTGATATTGAGTCTTGTGAATTCCAGAATAATAGGTCTGTTTCTGCAGAAATCACAAACCATTCAGAGTGAATTTCATTGATTGAAACTAGTTTTCTGACTGAACTTTTTCCAACACAACAGCAAACCGTATAATGTACCGTCACGATTATGCCCAAAGCCTAAAATTTTTGCGTAGAATGCGAAATTCGTATCCAGAGTGGTTTTCAAACCGTTCATGGGACGGTTTTTGACGTGTTGGAAGAGTTGGAACAGACCTAAAGTCGACAAAATTTGCCCAAAAAAACTTTTTTGGTCGTGGCACCATTTTTTTTTTTTTTGCATTTTGTGCTTCCTCCACTCACATGTCCCAAAATTTTTGATGTGTACAGCATTCATACAAAAAAAATATGGTCACCCTACTATTGATTGTCTACGCGTAGACAATTCGAATTGTTTACGTGGGCATTTGTCTACACATTGTCTATTGTCTACATGTGGCGTAAACAATAAACCCATTTTAGAAAATTCAAAAAAAGATCCAAAACTACTACTACCCAAGTAGCTAATACCTATCACTTTGATATCAGCATTCACTGATTATAAATGAGGAAAATCGATAATAAAATAAAAATAATTTTCGGAAAGGAAAGTGTGAGGTTAGAATTAGACGTCATTTATATTATTTTACATTGTTGACAAGTTGTCTACATTGTCTACCATTGTCTACACGTAAAGTAGACAATTAAAGTCTACGTGTAGACGCACATCCCTGGCGGCAATTCCTATTTTTGCCCAGGATGGCCGAAAGGCTAGAGCGGGCCCTGACAGTTAACTGAAGTTAACTTTTTGAATTACATGTAATTCCAGAAGTTAACTTTAAGTTAACTCTTAAAGTAGTTTTATAATACCCGCCCTTAAACTGACAGCCTTTCATCGAAAAGTCAGTCTAGGAACACTTATCGTTAAGGGGGAATTCTCATGAGCGTAAGTTGACATTTCTGGCGTAATCACGTGATAACTGATAATATGGTGTAATTTGATTGGTAAAATATCCAACATGGCGAAGATTTTACCAATAAAACCCAACCATTTTATCACGTGATTACGCCAGCAATGTCAACTTACGCTCATAAGAATTCGCCAAGACGTCCATGGCCGTGGGCTTCCCTAAAATAGATGGTGGAAACCAAGGATATTACACACTACTACACTATTGCTCATCGGTTTCAATTTATGGAATCAAGGTCATGTGGTGTAGCACCGGTTGGCGGCGTCATCAACTTTGTCATTAGTTGTGTGCGCCAGCGGTCATAGTTTAGAATATACCTAAAGGATAACGCAAACCTAACATGGGATATTTGGGCTCTATGATCTATGGATTTTGCCCATTTTTTGATGTATTGTAGAGGATTGATTGCCGTTTCCACTAACTAATTTAGGGGAGCCTTAAGCTAAGTTCTCATAATCGCGAATTGCGAACTTTTTTTCTGCGGAATAGGAATGTTCACAAAATCAAAAAATCCCGTTTACCAATCATCAAATTATTGAGCATCATTTCATAAGTAAATCTACAAAATTTTTCGAAAATCAGGAAATTCTTTCTTTGAGAAAAATAGAGACGAAATATTAATATTCGTTTAAAAGCACGAAACGCTCTCTGACGTCACAATGCGTAACGAGTTAGCGCGCGCAAGTACCGTAACGCTACTAGCACCGATTTGCGTGCGGAAAATACCACTGTTCCGCACCTCGTACCAAAACACGTACGTTGGTACCACTTTTTTCGTCTCGGTTTAACTTTCTTTGAGTCTCCCATCATTACACAAACACAAATAATTAGAGTGAATGAAGCTTTTCGGGATAAAGTAACAGTCAGCAATACAATAAATTCAATGTAAACTTGTAAACAAATCTCGCAAACGCGCCAGTTGATTGTTCGTTCCGCACAGTGACGTCACAAGCGCTACTCTCGCCGCAAGGGGTCGTTTTGCTAGCCTCGCTAATCTCGTTTTTTTGTTTTCGATTTATCAGAAAAAATAAAGGGTTTCTAGATGTTTTAACGCTTAATGCGTGTTTTGTAGACCTAGAACCGCCACTTTTTATTATAATTCAAAAATAGTAAACATTCCTTTTGTTCCTATTGGTTCAAATTATTTTAAATTATAATGGCCGGAAAATCTC